GCTAGAGTGGATTCTGTTGTCTGTGATTGAGAACTCTCACCAACAGTGTTTGATGGCAAAGTTAGTCTTTAAAAGCAATCTTTTTTGGTGTCCTGATAGTAAAGGAAAAAAACTGGCAGTATATTTCCCTATTCAGAAACACAAGGTGGTTTCCTTCTTACACTCTAGAGCAACCTTCTATAGTATCACACGTAGGGAGTTGGGGGTACCGGGAGTCTAAACAGCTCAGGCATATGAACAGTGGAGTCCCTGGTCCCAGTTTGTGTCTAAGCTCCAGCTACGGGTAAGATTCAACATAGTCTGGCCAACTTTTGAGGTGGGCCTTCCTGGATCCTGATTGTATTAGGGCCCATGGAACCTCCTGAGCAAGAAGCACCCTAAGAGCAGTGGACATTAGGTACGCAAGCTTGGACAGCAACAAAGACTTCCCAGGAGGTGTGGAACAATTTGGGTCTAGTTTAGTTGGTGGGTGCCACTTAAGATTTATCTCTGGCTTGCATCATGGGGCGTTCCAACAATGTGAAGAACTTGGGGACCATCAGAAGCTGTGAGGTTATAAAAGTGGAGAAAAGAGCCTATCCTAATAAAATTTCATTTATTTATTTTCATTTATTCACTGAACAGTAAATGAAACCTGCTATGTGAATGACACTGTTCTAAGTGCAGGGGACAAGAGTTCTTTGCTTTCATGAAGCTTATGGAAGAAACATGTTGAACCAATAATTACCCACACATTAACGTTTCAATGATGAGTTCTATGAAGTCATATGGAGTACCCATTCTAGTGGCAGATCAGGAAGTCTTACCAGGGGAAGGGGCAAATCAGCAGAGGCTTAAAGAATGAACGGAAGCAGATGGAACAAAGAATAAAGGAAAGTATCTAGAAGGTGGAACAACTCTTGGCAACAGGATGTGTGCACAAGAGAAACTGCGAGAGAAAGCCAGTGTGAGGCAGAAGCCTAGGGAGCAAAGGGCAGAGACACCAGGTGAGGCTGGAGAGGCAGATGGGATGAGACTGCTCAGGGTTTTGCAGACCCTGTGAAAAATCTGATCTCAATGCTAAGTAGGGTGAGAAAGAAATAAAGAAAATAAAGTAGAGGAGAGTCATCAGATTTGAATTTTAAGCAGATCTCTCTAGTTACAATATGGTAGCACACTACGTGATACCACACATATTCCGCAGCTGTTGATGTGCCAAATCTACCTACATGACATTCATTCATTCCACAAATACTTATTGGGACTCATAAATACTATGTTCATGTTTTTCAAACCGTGGATTGAGAGTCACTAGAGGATTGTGAAATCAACTTGGGGAATTGCCAGCAATAATTTTAAAAATGAAATAAAATACAAGGGAATAGAAAGTAAAAGTGTCAGAGAACATCACATATAAGTAACATTAGGTATTATTTCTTTCCAAATTAATTTTGTCCTATTGATATTAGAGGTAGGGTCCAGGGGCCTCATAGTCACCCTCAACCCCCCCCCCCCATACTTTTATCAGGTTCTTGACTCTGCCACAGGAAAGAATGCAAGAGCAGAGTCACAGTAGAAAACGAGAACAGGTTTAATATAATGAATAAGAGATACAGATTTCACAGAGAGAGTGTGGCCTAGCTCCAGAGACTGAGCTGGGCCCACACCAAGTTTAATACACAAGTAAGAACTACATACTTATTCAGTACAGAGTGCAGGCTGGCCCAAGAGAATGAGCAGCTCCTTGCTGAAAGTAAATCTGATATAAAAAGAAAGAAATACAAACTCCACAAGCAGAGTGCCAGCAGGATCCAGGAGAGTGAGCAGCACCCCCATCTTCTGCTGGGGTTCAGCTTTTATAGTTTTGCTACCTAATGAATATTCAATGAAGGGAGTGGTTCCCAGTTATGTAACATTAGTCTTGCACATGCTCAGTTGGTCTCTTCTTCAAGCACGTTCATTGGTCACACCCTACAGCATGCACCAGTCATATTCAGGAATATTCTGTGCTCTCTAGCACCTCTAGCAGAAGGTCATTCAACCACCAGGGTTACATAACCCTTCTCTACTGAGCATGCCCAGGCACTGGATTGGCATAAGCCAGCCCCTTGTGGTCTCATTTTCCCCCTGTTGGTGCTGAAAATAGGTCTAACTGGCAACGGTAGCTTTCTTCTAGGGGAGGGCCTAGTGGAGGGGACCTTGGGGAGTGGCTTGAAACCCAGAGGTGTGTCCTGAAACCTGAGCCCAGGGAAACTGAGCATCTCCTGTAACACTATGAGTTAGGGCAAAACATTATTGAGATCTGCATTCTGAATAGTAAATGATGTAACATGCTTAGCACAGTGCCTGCCAACACATTACATTTATTGAGCGCTTGGCTCAATAAACAAATGGCCTTGATGTAGGCATGGTCCCTATATATGAGTTAAAAAAAATAACATAGGTTGGGTGGGCAGTTCTGCTCTGGGCTGGCTGGATAGATGTCTGTGGTCAGCTGGTGGCTCTGCCTGCCCTGGTTGCTCTAGGATGGCCTCATTCACATGCCTAGCAGGGCAATGGAGATTACCTGACATTTCTTATCATACAGCATGCTTCCCCAGGATCATTCACCAAGAAGTGGTTGCATACTCCTAAGAACAGCAAGAGCAGGCAAGCCCCAATGCATGGGCACTTTTCAAGGTTTTGCTTGTATCATGTTTGCTACTGTTTCATTGGCCAAAGCAAGTCATCGGGACAAATACAGATTCAAGGGGTGGAGCTGCAAAGATACATTGCAAACAAGAACGGAGAAAAACTACCACCATTTTTGTAAACGACCTTATTCCTTATAGTGGATTGAATTATGTCCCCCTCAAACTCATTGAAGCTTGAATTGTGTTCCCCAAGCTTTACGTATCAGAAATTTAGCCCCCACTGTGACTGTTAAGAGGGTGGTAAATCCTATTATGGTAATTGAAAGGTGGAGCCTTGAACAGGTGATTGTATTGTAGGACAGTGCAGTAGTGAATGGATTTAAAATGGTGGTCAGGGACATGGTTCTGAGGGCTTTAAAAGGAGAGGAGAGTCTGTCTTCCTCTCTCTCTGCTCTCTCTGCTCCCTCCATCTTGCAATGTGAGACCCCCCGGGGTCACTGCTGCCACCACCAGATGAACTTTGGATTTCCCAGCCTCAGAAACTGTAAGCAATAAATTTCATTTTCTTTATAAATCACCCAGTTCCAAGTATTTTGTTATAAGCAGTGAAAACAAATTAATACACTCCTTAAAGGGAAATGTGGCACCAACTGTTGAAAATAAGCTGTTCAAGCTACAAATGAGAAATCACCTCAGGTTTTTCAGCAAATAATGGTCATCACATTATCCTACACTGTCATTGAAACAGGCTAAATCTATCACAGATTTCAGAAACTTTTTGCAGGAATTAAAAAAAAAAAAATAAGCAGTTACATTTCTTAGATGGTTGCAACATAAATTAGTAATTCAAGATAATTTTCAGTATTTAGATACTGAAATATTTCAGATAATTTACAGTATTACATTCTATTATTTAAAAAATTTTTATTCTAATTACAAAGGTAATACATGGCCAATGCATAAAAACTGAAAAACATGAAAGGAAGGGAAAAATTAAATCAGTTCTAAGTCCACTGTTAATATTTTTGTAAAAATTCCTTGCAATATCTTTTCCATATTTTTTAATAAAAATATCAAATGGCATATGGTGTTTTAAAACTTTCTTCGCTTACAAAAAGACTTTTTTTTTTAATCAAAAAATGTTTCTAACACCAAGATCAAGGTTTTGGATCCCCTTGCTGACCAGCCACCAAAAACAAAAACAGACAAACAAAATTTTTCAATAACTCAAATTTTGATGGCGGAATAGTTTTCTATCACAGTTTGCTTCAGCTCCTGGTATTGGCAATCCAAGTAATTTCTATTTCTATTCTTTATAACCAGTGTTGTGATGGTTTGATATCGAGGTAGTAAAAAATTTATGGTTTTGATAATTTTACGAAATTATTTTATCTTTAAAAAAAGTTATAATTTAGGATTATATTTTCCACTGGGAATGTGGATTGGTGCTGAAAAACAGGAAATTTAAAGCCTAAGCGTGAATCCATTGAAACAAGCAAACAACAAAATGAGTATGAAAGGTGAAAAAAGTAAAAAAAACAAAAAACAAAAAACAACTGGCCGTATCTTGTAAAGTGCTACACCCACATACCAGGAAATCCCCTCCAAAGTCTATATAAAAGGAACATTCGAGACATCTGCATCAGGAGACGGGTACAGGGAACTCCCCAGCAACAACGTTTCAAACAGGAAAGAAGGAACGAAAACCCGGAAATCTCCGTGACCTCGCCCCTCCGCCCCGTCCTCCTCTTCCCGTGACTTTGTACTGGGCCGGCCCCTCCCCGCCCCGCCACCAGGGCGCACGCGCTGGCGCTCGCGACCGCGCCCACCCTCGCCACGGCCGCGCGATCCATGGACGGGGCTGCGCACGCCTCTCGCCAGGAAACAACAGGCCACTCGCGGGGGCGCGCCTCGAAGACGCCCGCCCCGCCCCGTCCCCAGGGAGGCCCCGCCCACGAGCGCCGGGGGGCGTGGCTCGCGTCCGCAGGCGGGAGCGGGGGCTTCGCCGGGTCTGGGGTGGGGGGAAGGCGG